TCGTACGAGCAGTCGACGAGGAATGGAAGCAGCGGCCCGTCGACGAACGTCACTGACAACGCTCCTTCCATGCCCCCCCCCCCCCGCCTCTCCCGCGTCGCCGTCGTCGTCGTAACTTGACGGAAAAAAACGCCGCGGGCCGAATAACATTGATCCAGCCCATTCGTGTCACCCGAGTCGACGACCTTACGACCTTTGATTATTTAGTTCGAACGGTTTCCGCGGTGGTCTCGGGGGTAATTCGTCCGGGTAACTCGCGACGGTATCCCCCCGTGGGAGGGCAAACTTAAAGAACAAGTACGCAAGAATATATCGCCGGCAGTTGGCGAAAAGCTCGCCTCGACGCTTTTATCGCGAGTTTGAAAGAGAAATTTTTCCGAGATTAAACAGATTACTTCTTTTTTCCGAAAGTGAAATCAAGAAAATTTCTGTTTCGCGCGAAGTAAACTGCACAATCGCTTTTCATCGCGATTTGCAGTCGATCAACATTTTCAGTCAATTATTTTTTTATCGAGCGCAACCCCTTTCTTTCGGGCGTCGCGCTTCCCCAAATTCTCACTGCGCCGAGCGTCCGAGTATTACCGTCACTCGGCGGGCTCGCCGCAAGACTCGCATAATACTCGCCACCCCCGTCGTCAGCTTGCTCCATGAAACGCTCGTTTTCCGCTACGACGCTCGCCGGAGGGGGAGGGGGTTGAGCGCGTCCGCGCGCCCGGCTAAGCTGCGCAAATCGGATTAATTATTTCGCAGCGTGGCCGGTTGCGGCCGAAGGCGCGGTCCTTTCTTATCGCCGGGTTTAACGTGAAACACGGAGGGTGCACACGGTGCGAGGCGCCCTTTATGGATGTGTTTGCCTTTGGGTCTCCGTCAAGATCGATGGCGCCATGTCACGCGGCGCGGCGCCGCGCCGCGCCGATGCCGCTATCCGTGTAAGCGTCGCGCCGTGCCATCCCGCGCGCGCGGCAACACAAACATTGCACGCCAAAATTACACGCCGCGCGACATCACAAACACGGACGCGAAGACGAGACGGCGCGAGGCGAGGCGAGGCGAGGCGAGGCGAGGCGAGGCGAGGCGAGGCGAGGCGAGGCGAGGCGAGGCGAGGCGAGGCGAGGCGAGGCGAGGCGAGGCGAGGCGAGGCGAGGCGACGCGTGGCGAGGCGTGGCGCGGCGGGGCGAAGCGGAGCGAGGGTGCGCCTAACGAGGCCCGTCGTCGCGTTTACCATAGCCCGCTAAGGATAATAAGGATTTTGATTGAGCAGGTTGTTTGCCGCGTCTCTATTGATTAACAACGATCTTGCGATACACCGCTTACGACCGGTGCGACGTAACGATGTGCGCGTCAAGCTCTATCTAGTCGCGATCGCAGCCGAGTTTTATCAAATTTTCCCGTCCTGAAAATTTTTTTCATCAAAACAAAATGACAGCGCAAGCTTTCCGGCAAGTTTGTTCACCTCGCCGCGAGAAATTTGTCACCTAGCTGCTTAAAAACTCGATGCGAATTCCGACAATTGTGTACTTTCGCTGGAAAATGTTGAAAAGAGAAACCGTCTTTACGATCCTCCGGAATGAGAACAATTTCACGAGAATGTGACCGTTCTGCGCGCGCGAAATTCGCTTCGATTTCCGCTCGGCGCACAATAAAGTGCAACAGGATGCATTAACGACGACGGATTCTGACGCGTTGGCTCGCTGACGCCGCGCGATATTATTCAGCTACGCTCAATCGCAATAACGTCCACTCCTCCCCGCCGTGCCCTTTCTATCGGGATCTACATCGATGAATGCCCGACGGAATGCCGTAAACGCGAATACGTCGATAACGGATCGCCGCCGCGGCACTCGGCTGTTATATTCGCAGCCATCGAAGAAGCTCTGAATTACGAAAGTGCGTAAACGTCCGGTGCATATCGAATACACCTTCCGACCGAGCCGAGGGCTTTGCAGCTCGACGGATGCATTACGGATGCCACGCAAGCGCGCGCGCGCGCGCGGCTGTTGAGATCAAAGGGCGAAATACCGAAACCCGACTCGGCAGAGCTAATGCACTCCGGTGCGCGAAAACCGGATGAAGAAAGGAAATAATGCGGACATGAGAAAGGCAGGCCGAGGGCCTTGCAAACCGTGGAAATTGAGTTCCTGGCCGTGTCGAGAATTTTCCCGCGCCGCGACGGAAAATACCGTGTGATGCAATAGCGAAGAGCGAAATTTTCTCGATTGTTTTGCTGATTTTACGCGTGCTTTCCGAGAAAAATAAAGATTTAAATATCGTATCGCGAGATTTTTCCTCCCTTTCGTATTATTAAAGAATAGTTTCCGAAGTTTGCTTACCTCCGGCTTTATCACATTTTTTCACATTGTGCAATTTGTTATCTTCACAATTGTCTGTGTGCTTGTGAAAATGTTCTATTAAAAGATATGTACTCACATATATGATACAAAACCAGATTCTTCGTATTCCCGCTGTACTTTTGGAACGCTCGATTAGTGGGCGCAAATACAGTCACGTGGCGATACGAGAGGGTGGTGTTGGCCACTTGATTGCCTTCCAGGAGCTGGTAAAACTGCAACAAAAAAGCGATATATGGTTTCAGAGTCTGCTCGATACAGTTATTTTTGTTATCGTCGATCGTACCGCCGATAGACAAATGACGACGGAACCAAAAAAAAAAGAAAAAAAAAAAAAACGCTCACGGCATTATACCTTGTGCGCGCGCTTTCGATCGTGTTCCCAGCACAAAATCAAACAGTCTCTGGCTCCGCCGCGCTCAAAGGGACCGGCTTATACGAGGTCGTTAAATTAATCATCGACCCCCGCATGATAAAGCAGGAAACGAGCCCGAAACGAACGATCGATCCCGCTCTTTTGACGTCGGCTCTTACGCGAAACCCTTCTCCTCCGTAGGAGAGAAAAAAATTCACCCGCGGGAACACGCCTCGAGCAATTCGCATCACCGAGGATTAAAGTCGCGCCGGCTCGAGCGAGCCGGCGCGGATTCGACGCGAGCACGCGCGCTAAAGCATTTAATCCGACGTGTCGGTTGAAATTTTCCGAGAACTTTTATCCCCCCGACAGGCGGTGGCGGCCGCGGCACAAAGGAACCTCGTTAGTTATCAATGCTTAATTAGCCGGATGCAAAGTCCGATCTGCCAACGGGTATTACGAGTCGCCCTTCCCGCTATACCAGTTTCCTCCCCTTTCTGTCGGCCATCTCGCCGCTTGGGAGTTGAACAGAAACACATGTCGAAAAGTTATTAAACCCTTTAGAACGTTGAATATTTCAATGGCTGATTTGTGAAAGACACGATTTTGGGAATTTTTAATTTCCAGACCACCTCGTTTCTCAATTTCCATTCACTCCCGCGAAATTCATCATCGTAAAATTATTACAACGCTCATTTTGTTGATTTGATATTGCAATTATCATATTACAGCGATGATAACGAGTATAGAACATTTTAATGAGATTCAATTCAGCGCCGGCAGTATATTTCGCGACATTTACGCGTGACATTTATGCATTGGAACGCGTGTAACTTGAAACTCTGAAACGCAGAAAAACGACCTCGGACGCGAAAAGTGTGTCGACTGATATGATGAAAGTAGCATCGTCGCTGGCTCGCTTTGTCGATTTTATGACGCGTGCGGCATTCGCGCAAGTTTTGCCCGCGCAAAAGCGTCGCCGAGGCTTCCGATCCTCGTAAAACTCGGCCCGAGTATCGTAAAAACGCGATTATTTCGTCTCATTGCTCGAAACTGCCGTGCATTGCGCTGAGAGGGAGAACTATGCTCTCCGCTAGAGTATAATAAACTGCTAAAGTTCCGTACGCAGGAGGCGTATATCTCGGTCGGTGATTTTTCCACATCGCGATAGCATTCCGCTCTAACACGCGAAACGATCTTGGCCTCTCGGTTTCGCCGGAGTTGATAGAGCAATATCCCCTTTTATATTTCCCAATTTCCACGATTCGCACTCTGTATTTAGCATCGAGTAAACTTTTTTATTTAACGTTGTTTGCAATATTTTTACACGGACGAGGAAGAGAAAAAATATGGCGGCCGATCTGTCTATTTAACGCTGATATCGACAAATCAACGCGAAATCGCATTTCGATTATAAATCGGACGGCGGATGTACGGTTTATTAAAGGTGTAAGTTTCCGCAAGGCCGTGGCATTGTCGGGGGCGGGAAACTTTGTTACCGCGGTCATATATGCTAATTAGTACACGGCGGGATAATTGGCAGGGAGAATTCGGAGCAAGGTCTATTAGCTGCATCGGTCGGTCGGCGGCGTCGGCAGGAAATTTCTGATTAATTAGTGGAAGCTGTACGAGGATGCGGACCTATTTAGTCGCTTCTATAATCCACGATAATCGAGACTCCGCAATTAAATTTAAATCTTAAAGTTAAAAGCGACGTAATATTTCGGGATGCCGTTTACGATCGAGAAGCGACGGGGAGGAGGTCTCGCGAACGAGCAAAGTTCGCAAGGACGGCGAACGAGAAATTTTCTGTCGTTGCGGGGGGAGGAGGGGCCAGTTCAATTCTCATTAAGCGACGGATAACGGCGACGCCGGGCCCAATTTGTGAAAAATAATGGTGAGACATGGCTGCGACCTCTTTTATCTTGCTCGCCCCTTATCCTTCCAGGCGCTCTCTTATCCCCTTTACCTCCCTTTAACGAAGCTCTTGAGTAATGGAGACATGTCGTGACTCCCGGCAATTAATGCGAGTTGGTTCGTCGAGACGAGAGCGACGGGATTGGTCAGAGGCGAGCGGACAAAAGGAGAAAGGGACAGAGCGAAAACAACTCTGCGGATAGGAGAAGGTTTCAGCCGGGGTAATCGAGACGTCGCGTTTCGCATGTCGATTGTCTCGGTAGAGACGGAAGTTTTATCAAATCTCGCGTAATATCAGTCACTCCGAGCTTTCCGTATCGCGGAAAAACCTGGGGATATTTAAAGTCATTTTAATTCCTCGAAGCTCTGCCGCCGCACGAGCGAGTCGAAAAAGATTAAAAGATTCTAGAGAGAGATTTGAACGCCATGATGTGTTTTCCAGTTCGCGCCGATTCGGAAACAGGTTTCTCGCTGTCGGAAATTCAATCGCAAGATTATCGGCCTCGGCTTTAAATTCTTCGAGCGCCAAAATGAGTAAACTGTTTGAAAATTTGCATATGGATTCGCGCTCGATTGTACCTATCAATTTTGCTAACGAGACCGCCGGGGTGGATCGTAAAAGCGGCGTTTAACGAGCGCGCCGGACGCCTGACAGGATATTATGTATTATTAATGCGGGCAAATATTCACGTTTGTAAATGTTCCAACATTTTCTGCTCGGCGAATAAAAACAATCGTGTCGATGGGCTAAAAAGGAATAAACGAATCAGGATGTTGCTGTGAAGCGCCAAATTGGAAATCCGGAGCCCCGCGACCAGCCGACTATGAAAATTAAATTAAATCGTGCACCAAGATATATTTTCTATTTATTCTCCCCCTCCTTCGCTGGCACAATTTCAACACATTACACGCATTCAAAATATACAAATAATTCTGCAGTTAAGGTTGTTGTTCCGAAATAACTATTGTTTGCGCGCTTTATTTTTAGAATTTACATTAATTATAAAATTTAAGAGAATAAAATTTAAGAGAGGAATTCTCGTGCTCGTAAATTAGACGTTTATTTTTAATTAGAGACAATTAATTTTTAAAGAATCTAAAAGAATTTTAAAAGAATCTTTTGCTAAAAATTTATATTAAAATAAAACGCGTATAAATACGAAACAAGTCTTAATTTCGCGCGTTTTACATCTTAATTCATATCTACGTTGCAGCCCGAGACATTTTATCTCACGACATATATCAATGGCGTTGTATGACAGATTATATTCATTTAAATTCATGCTTTCACGTTACACAATATTATTAAAAAATATATTTAATGAAAGCTTAACATCCTATTTGCATTTTACTGCGCTGCATTTATCACTGTACATGCTAATTCAATGCAACAAAGAGAATAATAATTATTTTAACTTTCGTATATTTAATATTTCCGCATAAATTTCATACAAAAAACGTCATTCGGTAATCCGATAATCAATCGGATATCGCGCGGTAAAATTAATGACTGCAATTGGATTATTCGCGCCATTTTCGCGAGTTTTATATTTTTTTATAGGATTTGCTGCCTCGCGCACAGCCCGGCGCTATTTCCCGCCGTGTTTTACAGCCACGGTTCTCGTTTTAGAAACATCGTGTGCCCCTTGGGTTTCAACTTGTAATCACACACTGCATCGTGTCTTCGTTGCGGACGAAATACGAGCAGCTCGCTCGAGTAATCACATTTAATTACAATCAAGATAAAACGAAAAGGCGGAAAAGGAAAAAAAAAGAGGGAAAAGCAGACGAAGAACACGGGTTCGCGTTTTCACGACCGCGCGCTCGCGAAACTTTAATACGAGACGAACCGAGCAGCGTCCGCTGTAAGATGGAGGGAAAAATTTAATTAACGTGAGCATACGAAAGTTTCGCTGGTCCGTTTCGTGGATGTGGCGGCTTAAAGTTTTTTACGATTGCGGTAATAAAGACATTCGATTCGGTTCGGTCGCCTCGTTTCGTTCGTGCTCGTCTTGAGAAGATGACGCGAAGCGTGCAAGCGCGCGTCGTCCCGTCTCTCTTTTACGCATGCGAGCGACAAAAAAAAAATGAAATTTGTTATTTAAAAAGTACTGCGAAGGCCGTTAATGGGATATTTGATAAACGAGGATCGTGCATCATCTTTAAGTCCATTACATTAGCGTGATGTATCGCACATTGGGGGACGTCCTTAAACTTTTCTGATCACATGGGTTGTTTATTGTCACTTCTCTCCCCTTTATTGTCTCCTACACGCTCTAACGATCCCTGCGTCCTCGCCGACGGATGCGGACGTTCATGCGAACGACTGAACTTTCATTCAGCGCCGGGGCGAAGATACGCCTTGTTCGCTTATGAGTCAACGATATCATCGCTCAGCCGAAAGCGTCACAAATTACACTCGCGCGTCGAAGAGCTGCGATTAATCTGCATATTATTACGTCAGTTCGTCCGTACCAGCGCACTTTAGTGCCTTTATAAGTTCACTGACATTGGGAGTTAGAACACTTTGAATATATTACCATAAAACGGAATGGGAATCAGTGCGACTAGAATTTTGCGACTGTCCCGAAGAAAATTTTCCGACGCACTTTTCAAAATGTTGCATAATTTTCGACGTCGCGCGAATTGAAGAATTATTCAAGAACACTGACGCGATCACTCACCTCCTAGAAAAATTCGGCAACAATAATCCGCGCGATCGGATGACTCATCCATTCGCGGCGTGATCGCGCGAGCGGATGCGCACGCGCACCTCTTCCGTCCCCTTTAAAATATTCAATCTAAAATCATTGGACGCGCATTACGAAGCAGACTTGTGAAACGAGCGTGCTCGAGGACGACCGCACTAGCATCGATACGGTGCATCAACGATCGGGGACCAATATCGTCTCGGCAAAGTGGTCGGGGAGAGCGTCATCTCGA